TTGATTTTAACAATTCTGTGTCCAGAGAAAACAAATGACTACACAGGCTAATGGAAAATAGTTTTATATTTATTTATATTTACAATCTTTGTATATCATTTCAAGAAAGGCAACTTATAAATTGTAAACATTTTTGGAATTATATTTAACTTATTAATGCAACTGACATTCATGTAGCATTGAATCCGTGTAACAGTTGCTGCTATACAGCAATGAATAAAAAAGCTAGAATTTCAGCCTTGGTCAGTTTTTAGCCCAGCTGAGAGGGATCAATAGATAATTAAGCAATCATTATAGTGTATTAGGTGTTGTTGTAGCGATGCTGTATAGATTTTGTAGGAGACATTTTGCTTAGATTTAAGAATGACTGAAGGGAATAACTCAGAGAAACAACATTTTACTGATAGAAATTGGGGAAGCATTGAAGCACTCAAACTGTGGCCCTTGATCCAACAGGACTGGCATTATCTGAAGCCCCACTTCAGATCTACTGTATCAGAGATTCTTGGGGTATGGACAGCAATCTGTGTTTTATAAACCCCCTAGGTGATTCTGATGCAGGAAACCACTGTTGTCACTGATGCTGAGAACTGGACATGAGAGAGCACAGCACATTAAAACAGAGTTGAAGCAGAGTTTGAAGTCATCAGTAGCTTGAGTTGAGGCAGGTAAGTCCTGATAAGATAGCTGAAGAGCTTAGCACATTTGTAAACCACTGAAGTGTTTTTAGTATGGAATAGATTTCTTAACTCTGTCTTTTAGAAAGATGACTAGAGAAGAGATTAGAGCTGAGTAGAAAAAAGGTACTTAGGAAGCCAGTGGAGTAGTAATAGCAGTGATTATGAGGACAGAATAAGTTAAATGGGTCAATTAGATGTTTAGAAAACAGAATTTGGAAGATTTGGTTATGGACATAAATTATAGAGGCAGGAAGGGAAGAAATCCCATGTTTAGCACTCAAGCCAATAGACAGATGCTTGGGAAGAGAATATAGGAGGAGCAAATGGGGATCATGAGGAAGATTAAGTATGAGGTTGGTTTTTGAATATTGCAACTGAAGTACTGATGGGATAGTCAGTAAAGGTATCAGCAGACAATTCTATATTTGCATGGGGCTCAGGAAGGAATTATGGTTAAATATTTAGAACTGGGAATATTTGGGCTATATAGGATAATTGAAATATTAGGGGATAAACTGGATGACTCCATGGAATTTTGTTGAGTAAATGAGAAGATAAGTAGTGCAGAACACATTCCTACTGGGCAAGGAAGAGGAGCTCTAAAAATTGCCAAGAAGGGGCAGCCACAGAGAACAGTTAAAGACCAAGAGACCATGATGTCATGAAAGCCAAGGGAAGAAAGTTTTCCCAGAAGAGCTTTCCCTTTATGTGTCTCACACTCTGGGGAAGCCAAAGGGAATAACCGAGATGTTCCTTAGAATGGCCACTCAAAGATGCCGGTGATTTTAGAGTGCTATAGAGACCTTGTCATAGATACTTTTCTTGTTGCTGGGACAAAATACCGGACATCCACAAGTTAAGGAGAGAGGTTTATTTTGGTTCACAATTTGTAGAGTTTGCAGTCCATAGTCAACAGGCTCCAAGCCAGGGTGACATAGCACAGGGTCATCATAGAAGAGAAACAGTTCATGACCTTGCAGGCAGAAGGCAGCAAAAGCAGCAAGCAGCAGAAATAGCCTGCCTTCCCTCTCTCCCTTTGTATTCCACCCAGACTATAAATCTATTGATTGGTGTCACCCACACCCATGGTGGGGTTTCCATTATCCCCACACAGAACTGTGCTAATTCCAGTCAGTGCACTCATTTAATACCACACACCCTTAATCCCAGTGTCACATGCCCTAGAGCCAGCCAGCTCTGAAAAACTGCACCTCTGAGCGTATGAGACTTTGGGGCAACATCTAGGTACAAGCTGTAACAGATCTCAAGAAGTTAATTAGGAGTGGATTTGATAGGTGGGTGGGAATAGAAGCAACACTGTGAGAAATTAGTGGGAGACAGACATTAGAGAGGATTTGGCTAAGAAGGAGAAAAAGAATCAAACCTGGCAGGCCAGAAAGAGAGCAAGAGACTTGGAGAACTTATCCTTTTTTTTAAAGGTGGCAGAAACTTGATCTTTAACACTGATGGGAAAGTGTGACCTTGGAGGGTGAGGGCAAAAGGTAGGGGGAGGAAGGGAAGGAAAAGAGAAGGATGAAAGACGGGAAGAACCTGAAGATGGAAGAGAAAGGAAGCAAATAATAGAAAAAAGTTCCTGTAGTTGTGGGAAGGGAAGAAATTCAAAGTAGCTGGGTGGCAGAGAGCACACTTTCATATTCTAGAGGAAGAAGAGAAAGGGTAATTTTTCTTTTCAGTGGGAGAAAAGAGAGGGAATTCCAATCTGGTGATTTCTTATTTTCCTCTGTTTTACAGCTGGGGGCCTAAATGGTTGAGAATGGTTGATAAGTTTAAAATAATCATTGTGCAGAATGTATAGATTAATTGGCATCAAGTTCCTACTTGAGGAGTGACATCATGAATTTATAGTGGGACCAATCTGGAGATAGGTGAATTTTCTCTAAACATTCTAGAAAGCCTTAGGACATGGGGAATTTAGCAACAGATTGGATTCCACCAAGACCCACTGCTATGGCAACACAGTGAGGCAAAGAAATGAAAAGAAAATCCCTCTGTTCCTTTATTTAAGAATTCTAAAACTTAAGCAACTCTGAAGGCTGAAGACTTATCATAATTCATTTGCTGCCAAAACTCTGAATGAATTGATGTGAGGCTATTGGTAGCTTTCATTCATCACATTATGTATATTCATTCACATGTTTTGCTTCACAAATGAATGTGTATGATTATGGAGTACTATGTTTTTCTCTCCCGGAGATGTTATATATGGAATACACACTTTATAACTATTCTTAAAACCAGAAAAATTTTGAATTCTAAAGAATGCCTGACCCTAATATCATCAGGAAGAGGCTGTATAAGCAATAAAGAGGCTAAAATGAATTATGACATCTAACTGGAAAAGAGAAAAGGGTAAGATGGGGGAGGGTATTCTATTGGGAAAAGTTACAAGAGTCAAGGATATAGAGAACTTCAAAGGACTGGGAGTCAAATGAGAAAAATTGAAGCATGGGAAATTATAACAAGCAGCTAAAATGTTTCAAGTTTTTCCGAAGGGAGACAGTTCTGGATGCTAGCAAATTCCAGGGTGGGCCTGGAGCTGTGGGCAGCTGGATTGTAATGAAATAGAAAGTCATTGAAAATGAGGTCAAGAAAATAAAAGGCAAGATAATTGGATAAATTACCCAGAGTAATGGCAAGATTCAAGGTGCACTGGAACTTTGCAAGCCAAATTCTCTGATTTCTAATGAGTAAAGCCCAGTGAAAAGTGTGTAAGATACCCAGAGGTACTGAACAAGGGCTTTACTCTTCCCCTGCGGTAGAATCTCTTTAATAAACAGAAAGATAAAATAATGAGTAATTTTATCTAGCATGTTATATGTAATATTAAAACTGTGATTTAGAAGTTACTAAAGTCAAAGTGAGAGAAGAGACTTTTAGATGTTTAGACAAGTAAAAAACTAATCTTGTACTTTATACTGTTTTTGTAATTTTTAGGGATTGGTGAACATTTCTGTGCAACCATAGATATTCAGTAGATTATATGATCACAAATAGTGGTTAAAAACTGTCATTTTGCTAAGTTATTAGAAACCATGATTCAAAAAAAGGTAGAATGTGAAAGAGTCAAGGAATATGTTCTAATTCTAGAAGTCTCAAACATAAGGCTTCAGGAAGAGTGGTATATTTTATATGATATGTAATTTTCTAGTTTTTCCTCTGTTGCTTTTTTTTTTTCTAATTTTGCTGCTTTTTTTTCACTTCTGGGTATCAAACTCAGAGGTGTTCTACCACTGAGCTGCACCCTCAGCCTCCCTCCCCCCATTATGTTTAGACAGGGTCTCACTAAATTGCTGTGGTGGTACTCAAATTTGAGAACATCCTGCTTCAATTCCCCTAAATGCTGGGATCTTGGATTACAGGTGTGTGCTACTGCGTCTATCTTAATTTTGCTGTAGTAGCCTTATTGACTATATTATTCTATTTTAAACTTCCTCAATCCCTCTTGGCTTAAAGTGAGTATGAATAAGAACCAAACATATTCTAATTATTGATGTTAAAAATAAGTAAGCATATTATAAAGCATTTTCACTTCAAATTTGAAAGATATATTTCATGTAACCTAAATATATTTCACTTCTTGTAGAGCAGTGACAAGTATCAACTACTGTTTGGAGGTTACATTAGGTTCTTCCAAAAGAAAAAAAATCTCCTCTAGTGTTGATGAAGGCTATTCTGGGGATGAGGAGCTGTGGGGGTAGCCTCTGCTGACCACAGGAATGTTGAACATCAGATGCTGCTTTGGCCAAAGAACCTTTGATGGATAGTGACTTCTTTGAAATGTTCAGACGATGGTCCTTGTGGGAACCTGCATCACAAAATATCTGTCACTGATGGAACATCCTATGTGAGAATAGAAATGCAGAATAATAGGAGAATGATACCCTATCTATAAACCATCTGTGTTTACCGATTTCCCAAATAACAGGACAAAATACATTTCACTATGGTAAATACTCCAGTTGCAATGGTCTCCAAAATTTTGTCTGTCTCGTTTATTTTAAGCAAGATTTCTGGGCCATGTGGCTTTTCTAGTAGACTTCAATGACATGCAACCACCAGCCAGAGACCTTGTCATTTATTTAACTCCAACTGTCTTTAATCTTGAGGACTGTGAGAAGCCTTAGGGTTTTAGTGTAATCATAGAATGTTTTGCAGGATTAGATTTTCAAATTTTTTACTTTTGTTATTTTGGCTCCCTGTACCAGAGAAGTCTTGTCATTATCTGTACGTCTTTAAATTTGGATTTATGTGGGTTTTTTCTATTTTTTTTTTTATCATTTTCCTCCTTTCTTTTTTTAGTTCACAGCCATGAATGAACCACAATGCTTCTACAATGAGTCTATTGCCTTCTTTTATAACCGGAGTGGAAAGTATCTTGCCACAGAATGGAACACAGTCAGCAAGCTGGTGATGGGACTTGGAATCACTGTCTGTATCTTCATCATGTTGGCCAACCTTTTGGTCATGGTGGCTATCTACGTCAACCGTCGCTTCCATTTTCCTATTTATTACTTAATGGCTAACCTGGCTGCTGCAGACTTTTTTGCTGGGTTGGCTTACTTCTATCTAATGTTCAACACAGGACCCAATACCCGGAGACTGACTGTTAGCACATGGCTCCTTCGGCAGGGCCTCATTGACACCAGCCTGACAGCTTCTGTGGCCAACTTACTGGCTATTGCAATTGAGAGGCATATTACGGTTTTCCGCATGCAGCTACACACGCGGATGAGCAACCGGCGGGTGGTGGTGGTCATTGTGGTCATCTGGACGATGGCCATTGTCATGGGTGCTATACCCAGTGTGGGCTGGAACTGTATCTGCGATATTGAGAATTGTTCCAACATGGCGCCCCTCTACAGTGACTCTTACTTAGTCTTCTGGGCCATTTTCAACTTGGTGACCTTTGTGGTAATGGTGGTTCTTTATGCTCACATCTTTGGGTATGTTCGCCAGAGGACTATGAGAATGTCTCGGCACAGTTCTGGACCCCGGCGGAATCGGGATACCATGATGAGTCTTCTGAAGACTGTGGTCATTGTACTTGGTAAGTTCTGTCTTCCTGTAACTTTATAGATCTAACGTCTTAATACAAGTTATATTAGTTTATGGTAGTAGTAAGCAACAATATGAATATTTTCCAGGTGTATATGCAGGAATTATCAGGGGATAAAGCACCTTTATATTAAATATCTGTGACAAGGCTTGCAAGTCTTCGTACAATTGAAAAATCAGAAATATGTTAGTCTCAGTGCTATAATATAACGATGATAATATAAAACATGTCATTGAAGAGTTTGGTATCTAATACTGAAAACATATACTAGAATCTCCAGTCAATCAATTTCATTTCACTTCTGAAAGGTTTCCTTAGAGCCTAAGGAAACTTTTACCTGTGGCCTCTATAGTCCTGATTTTCAGAGAGAAGGTACTTTTTCTAATATCAATCTGTTTTCATATATAATTAATTTTATTAGTCTTAGCATTCTATAATTGTTATTATAGCCAAGTACATCAAAGTTTTGCATAGATTTACTAAACAAAGATTGAAAACAATAATATTTTGTGATAATACTCCATGAAAATTTGTTAATTCCTATGGTTATATATGAGAGATAAGTTGATTTTACAAAAAGAAAAGTTCTGGTCTATCCAAACCTTATCTTATTGTAAATTTGTTTATTGACAATCAATTGTTTTGTGTTGTTTCATGTTAGTGTTTGATGATTTGTAACAAAAATATAGATCTTTTAAAACAACTTTTAAGGTTTGGGGATGTAGCTCACTGGTAGAGTATCTGACTAGGATATGGGAGGCCCTGGAGTTGATCTGGCACCATAAAACATATGGACAAAAAACAAACAAAAAGCCCCCCACAAGCCCCTATGGACAAGGCAATCAAATTTTTAAAAATTTTTTTATTTAAAAAATTGAACTAACAAAACAACAATGAAGACAATCAAAACAACAAAAATGATGCATGACCTCAAAACAACATGATAGGAATTAACAGTGGTTGCTACATGTCTTTGATTGTTTGATCAAAATTTTTATGATTTCATCTTTTACTGTAGAAGTTCAGTGGATAGTTCCTATAATTTTCTTTGCTCTGTGTAAAGCAGCGTTGATGTAATGTAACCTGGGATTATGTGATTCCTCTGAAACATTGGGAATTCCACTCATTTTAGTCGAGGGAGACAGAGTCCTAATTATCATTAAATAAATCAGCATTCTGGTTGGGGCACTGATCCCACTCTGATTTGACTAGGGTGAATCTATCATGGAAATCATGTCTAGCTGTATTGACTATGACCTTCCTATAGACCTGTAGGAATGAGAAATAGTCCTTGGAATTGCTGGCACAGCTAAATCCCTGTCTAACTATCTGGAGCACTTAGCTAATATCCCCGTTAGGGGCCCCTTCATATCAGATGATAGATTGCCTTATTCCATCCAAAGAAGCTTAGTGGAAGTATAAGAATAGTTTACCCATATGTTTAATCATCAACAAGACTTTGAGTATCTTGGTGGTACAGGGACAAATTTTCTATGATATGAATGAAACACATCTTAGTTTACCACAGACACTATTTTGTATAACATTAGTTAATATGAAACACTTTACTTCTATATTGATTTAAATATTTATTTGCTAGGGGTCTAAATGTTGATTGATACTTTTCATATGCATGAGCTTTTTTGTTGCATTATGTGCTGTTTATACAGTTCATAGGACCCTCAACAACAAAAGATTACTGAATTTGGACTAAGCCTACCAAGTTCATGGTTTAATTTTGACCTTTATGTCATATCTTGCATATCCTGTTGTACAATGTGCTTGATGATTCATGTAAAATTAACTTTTGTGTCTCATGGAGGTTTTTTTGCAGATTGAGATAATTATTTTAAGAGTTTATACGGCTATAATTCCAGTGTACATCTGCCCTAAATACCTAAATACCAGTCTACATCTGTACACTCCTAAATAGGAGTGTCCCAACTCCTAAATCGCATAAACTCCAAACTTGAATGTAACTGAAGTATTGTTGTCTTCTGAGATTTAAGAAAGCAGAATCTGTAATGACTGAAGGTAGTGAACTTCTTCTGGAACTGATAACAGTGTTTCTACCCCTGCAAAGTGGACAATGTTTTAGAATATGAAAAACTTCAACCAGGGTGATAGCGGAAGAAATTTGATGAGGCAAGATGGCGATGTGATTGTAATATAGGGAGCAGAAACTAAATAAATGGACTGTAGCCTTTGTGAGAAAAGCATCAAAAGTAGAAGGATAGGAGGGATATAGGAGGAAGGGGTTGGAAAGCTTAGAATAGGGAATCCACAGCCCTAAACAGTCAGTGTTTATCAAAGTGATGCTAATGTTATTCAAAAAAATGTATTCTCCTGCTTGAATTCTGACTGTCTCTCTGGAAAAACAAAGAGTTCTGGTCTACTTGCAATTCAATGCATTGTAAATTGGTGTGCTGACAATTTGTTACTTTTTTTTTTTTTTTACTTTGGTTTGTGGACATTGATTTTTAATCTCTAATATTTGTCTTCTCTGCCAGATTGTCTGGTCTTTGAGGGAAGGCTGGGATTGTACTACTGTGCTGTGTGTTTTCTCCTCATAGTCTGTCACAGTTATCGAGCACAAAGGAGATGTTCAATAAGTAATTACTGAATGAATGAATGAATGAATGTGGTAACACAACCAGGTTTCTGAGCCTTCAAAACTGAAGAAAGCCGTAGTGAATTCACTGTGGTAAATGCTTCATTATTCAGCTGTATGGGAGCCGTATCCAGCTGCATTTCTATTATATTCTCTGTCTTCTCATCAAAATATACACTTTGGAAGATGACTGGCTAATATGAGTCATCAGTAATGAGTCTGTTTGGTTTCATTTATTCTGGGGCTGATTAACTATGGACATTCTTCAGTTTCATTTTAACTATGTTGAAATAACCTCTGGTCTTTGAACTTTTCAGTATTCATGATCAGGAGGAGGGTTGGTTGGTGAACAACTGAATTCCTAGGAGTCCACTTAAAAATAAAGGTCTCCTTGAGATTTATGATATCAATATGTAGATAAGCTGCTTTTCAGTGAGTAGGGGATCTTAATAATTACTTCTGTCAAACACTTCTGCAACATTAATTGTGTGCCCAGCAAAATTCTACTTTAGAAATTGGTATTTGTAAATAACAACCTGAGGGAGCGCAATACTGTTTTTAATTTCTTGTCCTTATTTTCCAGTGAAAACTGAGGTATAAAGACACTAGATAACTTGTCCAAATCCACAGAGCTAATAGCTGTAGGAGTTAAGATTCAAACTCTGGCATTTGAGTTCTAGAATCCTTGTGTTTTTTCACCTCCATGCTGTACTGCTTCTTTAGAATAAAACAGCTATCACTGCATGTGGTACTTTGTAGTGAAGTTGGAACAATAGTGTACTATTAAGCAGAAGCATTGAGATCCTATGAGTATGCATTGATGCTACCCAGCCCTGTGTGTGCTTTGTGTCCATAGGCAGAGAAAGCTTTAAGGGAACATTCCTTTCTTTGTTTCTGATGCTGCTCAGGACTCTCTTTTCCTTTGCCCTTTTCCATTGTGTGGTAGCTGCTTGTCACCCAGGAAGTGTTTTATTCCAGGTGTGGTTAACGCATTCATTGTCTTAGCACAGTCGTGTAACCTCTCCCCAGGCTTGACTTTTCCCTACTTGACATTTTACCAAGAATTCCTTTTGAGTCTGTTCTGCGGTGGAGAATGTTCTGTGGCAGTGGAGATGTTCTTCCTTATTTGACCCCAGGCTGTCTCTAGTTGTAAGTCCTTTCCTTTCTGGCACTATTCTTTGTGATGATACTTCTGTTGGGGATAATTAAAGAAGAGAAAAATCAGAATTTGGGAAGAGAAACTCATGGTGAAGATTTGGATGATTTTGCATCTGAGCCCTGCGAGGGACATAAACTACATTACATCTCGATAGAAATTTTCTCTTTGGAGAAGAAGAAGGAGACACTATTTTTTCTAGTTCTATCTGTTTGTGCTGGAAATGATCACTACTTAAGCTACATTAGCCTTATTGCCTATGTAGTCTGTGTCTAAGTCAACACTAGGTACTACTTCTTGAGTGTTGTCTATACCCAGCACCAAGGAAAGCTGCTCCCCCTGCCATTTTATGTATTTAGCTTGCAGGTTAAGATAGGGTAAGTCACTTGTCAAAATCATTCTTTTTGTAAGTGGCAGACCTGGAATTCAACTCTAGGAATGTTTTGGACCATGGCCTTCTACCACAGGACACTGAACCTCTTTTCAGTTTAGTTCATCAAACATGTTGTGCAGTGCCAATTATGTGCCCAAAGAGCAAAAGATAAAGGAAATTATTCACAGAGCTTAGGTTGTAGGAGAGGAGATCAAGAAAGTGCCACAAAGCATTCAGGTCCATGTGCTATTAGGGATGTGACCCTGAGTGGAGGTGAAGGAAGCGAGGGTTTCCTAAATCAGATTCATAATGAATATGGAGGAGTTTGTCATACTGTAGCATGGGGTGGAGGGGAAGTGGGGGTACAGCACGAACAATAGTTATTAACTTTGAGAAACCGAAAGTAGTCAGGTATATTTTACATTTCCTGAGTCCACTAGACGGAGTTTTGACTGGAATGTCAAAAGCTTTTCTAGCATACTAAGGAGTATGAGTTTCAGCCTATAGTGATAGGAGATGCTAAAGGGATCTACAAGATAAATGAACACCAATTCCTTATAGGTAGGATATTCATACATAATCATCCAAACTGAGACACTTTCAGCAATGAAACAAACACTAACTGATTGGGACTCTAGTACAATCACCATAAACCCAAGACTGTTCCGGAGAGTCCAGAAGATGTGATCACCCTCCTCCTAGATTCTGATTCCTATTTTAGATAATTTATGTGTATTCTTTCTAGGTTTTCTTCTGGCTTTTCAAATGCAGAGTTCAACACTGGACTTCTTCCATTCTGTAAAAACACTAATGAAGAGTTTTTAAAAGGCAAGTGTCTGTCCAGATTCAGA